TTGCTGGTTCTATTTTTACTGAGCTGCTTGCTTTTTAAAAATAAATTCTTGGCCGGGCGGTGGTGGCGCACGCCTTTAATCCCAGCACTCGGGAGGCAGAGGCAGGCGGATCTCTGTGAGTTCAAGGCCAGCCTGGTCTCCAAAGCGAGTTCCAGGAAAGGCACAAAGCTACACAGAGAAACCCTGTCTTGAAAAACCAAAAAAAAAATAAAAAATAAAAAATAAAAATAAAAAAATAAAAATAAATTCTTGGGCATTTTAACACTTTTTTTTTTACTAATGTTTGTCATTTGTTGAATTTAAAAATACCACCCCCAGGTATACAGTGTAGCCTTTTCTACTTTGTTCAGTTGTCAAGAAATTCTTTGTAAATTTTATTCTTAGGATTTAAGTCTGAAAATTCCCCTCAAAGGTTCCTGTTTGTATTTTTGGTTCACAGGTGGTGAAACTGCTTTTGGAGTCTGCAGAGCACATAGAAGATGGAGTCTACTCAACGGAAGTAGATTAATAAGGGTGGAAATGCGAAGATTTAGGTCTGACTGACTCCTGATCAACCCTTCTGTGAGAAGTGTCCACCCCCAGCTCATGCCGCCATAAACTCAGCCGTGCTTCCTCCACCAGAATGGCCTGGACTTTGCTCTCATCATTGATTTCTGTCAGGTATTATGGCCAGAAAAAAAAGAATATCTAATCATTTGGTTCATATTTATAGCCATAATTTTAAATATAAACACCTATTAATATTTTAATAAAATATGTATCCCAAATCTTGAAAAAAATGAGTTATTTGCATAGATGAGAAAAGCATGTGTGATACACAATGCTTTGATGTTATTTAGAAGACGGAACAATCAGAGAATGAGATTGTGATGTGCAGGTGCATTAAAATGTGATTGATGGTGGAAGTCTAACACCTAAGCAAAGCACTGTCTTCAGGATGGCTATTTGAACTACATAGAAATTGGTTGAGATATATAGATTTGGGACATGACGAGTGTTTGAGTGGCTACATTAGTTTAATTTTCTGATGTTTTTAATTTGTGAGTTCATAACAATAAAGGAGTGTTTTATAAAAATCCTTCAAAAATAATTGTCATTGTCTAACAAAATTGGGAAACTTTATAATGCTGCATACCTACAGTAAAAATTTGGAAAGACTTCAAAAATCATGATTTAATGATGTACCTGAAGGCCATGCATAAACAGGCACAAAGCAAACTCAAAAAGAGTAGACAAGGGAAATAGCCAAAATGAGTATTTTGCCAATTTTCCACACAAGAGAAGAAATGTCAACTGTGCTATGTTTAACATTTTATGGTTGAAATTCCCATTCCTGTATTACTTTGACAAAGGGCATATGCATAGTACTATCCTTAAATGACAATGCAATATTGAAACAATATCTTGCACTTAATAATTTCAAAATGTTAGCTAATTATCTCAAATGATTATATATAATATATGTATGTATTTATATAATTACATATGTAGGAAACATTAAGTTTGTAAATTATGCTTTCAGTAGGGGTGGATAAATTTCAGTATGTGGCTAAGACACTTAAGCATTTTGCCAATTTCAATATACAAAGTTTATAATAGTTTCTTAACCTAGGTATAAATGGCATTGCATGCTTCAAAGAAATATACCAATACTGAACAACTTAAAGTGTGGAGGTGGAAAGAAGTGGAAGACACTTGATGAGAAGATGGTATAAAAAAAAGAAAGAGGAAAGGATCCAGAGAATTTGGGGAGGCAGAGGAGGAAAAAGAAATATTTGTCTCATGGTAAAACTGTGTCTAATGTGTATGATTCAAGGTATTTTATTCCAAACCAGCATGTGGAAGGAAGTTAAACACTATTCTGTTAATATTCTTTTGTAATCTCTATTGCTCTTTAATAACAGTGTAGCTCTGTTTATAGGAGAGTTTTATAAATGCCACTAAATTAGACTTAGTTACACCTGCCTTTTCTGATATTGGACATGGCTCAACATGGACAAGAACAAGAAAAGTTTCAGAAATGTGTCCTGGATAGTTTTATGTTGATATAAACTAGAATCATTTGGGAAGACAGACATTTGGGAAGAAGAAAATGCATGGCCTGTAGGCAAGGCCATAGAATATTTTCTTAATTAGTGGTTTATGTGCAGGCGGTGGGGAGACTCAGTCATTGTGGGTGGTGCAACCCCTAGACAGGGGCACCTTTGAAAGTAGGCTGTGCAAGACATAGGGAATAAGCCATGGCACTTCTTCATGACCTCTGCATCAGTTTTCTGCCTTTACTTCCCTGGATGATGAACTATAAGATATAAGGTGAAGTAACCCCCTTTCTCCTGAGGTGGACTTTGGTCATGGTGTTTTGTCACAGCAATAGAAACTCTAACTAATACAGAAGGCAACAGCTCTACTTTCAATACAATGTGCCCCGTTGTGCTAGTAAACAATTTATATGAAGACAAATAAAAATGCATGGCTTATATTCTTTGTCTAATTTGATGATATAGTCTCAGTTTTACAATACATTTGGAAGTTATAAGGTATGGATTTGGTAATGCTATGGGAATTTGGATTGTTCAAGTTGGTATGAGCCAAGCTGTTTCACTTGCCTTTGGGGAACTGCATGTCAATGTCCTTATCATTGGAAAAATAAAACAAATGAAGCTGGGGGCAGGGCGCAAGGTCACCTCCATTCACTTGGAACTTATTTAGATCTTTAATGTTCCACATCTTCTGACAGAAGTCTATTTATCCTAGCATGTGTAAATAATCCATGAGGAAATAAGCATTCATAAGTATTCCTTAATCATGCCTGTGACCTGAGTTACAGGTGGTTCCAAGTGTACCCTGTTCTTCAGAACTGGTAAATTTTCTCTAGAGTGATTAAAGAAGACTACCTATGTTTAACCCCTTTTTTGAAATTTTTACCATTGCCAGGATACCAAGTAATGAAGAAAGAATGTGACCAAAAGAAAGACTTTGGCAGGCTGGGCATGAGAAAGGTCCTGTGACATAGTCAGCCAAGGAACATAATCCTTTCAGCTTGGGTGGTTGGGTCTGTTAAGAATCCAGAAACTTGCACCTCACCCATACTACACAGAGGTTGCATTTAGTTACATCATGGTGGGTTGCACATACCAAAATTTAAGAAGCACTAATCTAGGAATTCATCACTTTCTTTCACCATGACATTAATCCATTAAGAAAGCCACACATGGAGGAATACGTTGATCCTGAATTTAATGTGGCAGGGTCCCCTACAGAACCACTGAGTTTCTGAGGGTTGAAAGGACCAGAGGACACTTGATGAGAAGACAAACGAGGGAGGATAGAGTAAAGAGAAATAGAGGGTGTGGAGGAGAAAAGAACAATATTTAGTGAAAGGTAAAGTAGCGTCTAAGCCTGTTTGTGTTAAAAAAGAATATACATTTGGATAAAGCACAGGGACAAATAGCCAAATGAATGGAAACACATGAACTATGAACCAATGGCTGAGGGGTCCCCACTGGATCAGGCCCTCCGAATGGGTGAGACAGTTGATTGGCTTGATCTGTTTGGGAGGCATCCAGGCAGTGGGACCGGGTCCTGTGCTCATTGCATGAGTTGGCTGTTTGAAACCTGGGGCCTATGCAGGATTGTTTGGCTCGGCCTGGGAGGAGGGGACTAGACCTACCTGGACTGAGTCTACCAGGTTGACCTCAGTCTGTGGGGAAGGCTTTGCCCTGGAGGAGATGGGAATGGGGGGGGAGGGTTGGGAGGAAGGTGAGGGGGACGGGAGGGGGGAGAACAAGGGAATCTGTGGCTGATATGTAGAACTGAATTGTATTGCAAAATAAATTAAAATAAATTAAAAAAAAAAGAAATACAGAAACCAAAAAAAAAAAAAAAAAAAGAATATACAGACAGTGATTTACTAACCATAACCTTTGTTGATCTCATGGTACTGATGTCTGGGTATTTCTAGGTCCAGGGGCTTTGTCTACTAAAGATTTTCTCCCTTGTGTGGACTCTAAGCAGAGGCTTGAAGCAGCATTGGCATCTGATAAACGGTAAACAGGATGTATAAGATTGTACAGCTCAGCCGGGGAAACATTGGCATACCAGCATTGCTCTTAAGTCTGTAAACATACCCACTATGCTATCAGCCATAAAAGTTTAGCACAGGACTATGGATATATCTCAGTGTTTAGCACACGTGGTCATGTACAAAGAGCAATACCACATATAGGGATGTCCGTGGGGCTGGAGAGATGCCTCAGTGGTACAGAGGATGATTCCTTTTGTGTTGAACCCAGATTTAGTTCTCAGCACCCATACTAGGTGGCTGACAACTTCCTGTAACTCCATCTCCAGGGGGTCTGACACCCTCTTCTGGCCCACATAAGCATAATCCCAGCACTCGAGAGGCAGAGCCAGGCGGATCTCTGTGAGTTCGAGGCCAGCCTGGGCTACCAAGTGAGTTCCAGGAAAGGCGCAAAGCTACACAGAGAAACCCTGTCTCGAAAAACCAAAAAAAAAAAAAAAAAAAAAAAAAAAAAAGATTGTACAGCTCACGATAAGGATAATTCAGTTCATTCACCCATAAATTCATGAATGTATTAACTCCTTCACTAGTCATCAACTAATACTTCACATTAGGAATTAAGTTAGCATATATTCTTCCTGCACATATTCACATACTCAAATCATGGGAAGTTCTGGATGAAAAATATCATCCTTCCCCTGAGTTTTACAGGAAAAAAACCTAAAAAGCCATGTTTACAATATTAAAATAGTGAAAGACAGTGTTATAAAAATTATTTCATCTAAAATGCTTACAATTCTAAACAATACAGATAAAAGATAAAAGTGTTATTCTCGGATATGAGTTAAATGGGCAAAAAGGTAGACATGAAGAAAAAGTTTATTTCCCTTCCATCTTGTTCTATCACGGATTTATTTATTGGTGGTTTTTCCTTTCGCTGTGTTTGTTTTGATTTCTGTGTCAAAACTTTCTGTCACCAATGACGCACTTTGAGTTTTATAAGATGAGGCTCAATCTTCAGTCTTCTATGTGTCGCTCTCCAGTTTCCCCAGCACCATTTATTCAGAGGATGTCTATTCTACAAGGTAAGTGTGTGTCCTTCCTGCAAAAATAAAATGGTTAACGCTGTTTAGTTTTGAATTGTTCTATCTTATCCCACTGTATTTTATTCTATACTTTTGTTCTATTATATTGTATTATTTGCTTCTATTCTATCCTGTCATTTGTGTTTATACAAAATCCATGCTGTTTTTGTTACTATGTCAAGCCTGACTTGAAATCAGATATTGTTATACACACAACAAATATATAATTGTTGCTTAAAAATAAAATGTCAGGGAGTAGTGGTACACATCTTTAATCTTAGCACTCAGAAGGCAGAGGCAGGAGAATTTCTGTGAGTTTGAAGGCAGCCTGAAATACAAAGCAAGTTCAGACCAGCCAAAATTATCTAGTGAAACTATGTCTTAAAATAGGTAGACAGACAGATAGATAGATAGATAGATAGATAGATAGATAGATAGATAGATAAGCAAGCTACTGAAAATCCAGTGCAGATATCCTAAACCTCTCTCCCTCTCTTAAACTGTGGTTCCATCATTCTGTAGTTTCAGTCTCCTTTATTGCATTAAGAACATTCTCCTTTAAGGGCCAATTTCTACAGAATGGATTCAGGAATCTTTCATTCTGTTCCTCTTTGCAAAATTTCCTATTTTACTTTGTTAGTGAAACCAGTGCTTCCCATCATCCTCCTTTTAGGATGATGCCTTTCCAGCCACCCCTAGTATATTCCCCCAGAGATCCTAGTATTCTACGTATGGCTGTTTGCAGCCATATTCTACCTGAATGGATTTTACATTTTACATGCTTAGATAATGCCTTTTGTGTGTTGCTATAACAAAATGTGAAAAACTATGTTCATTGTAAAGACAATCTTTTTGTTTGTTTGTTTTTTACTTCCTATTCTGGAGATTTTAGAACCTGATGCTGGGGACAAAGCAGACTTTATTTTTTAATATTATTATTTAACATTATTATTATTATTTTATTTTACTGTGATTGTGCCTTAGTGCGTGATGAATATGCATAAGCTTGTGCACATTGTGCGTGTGTGTGTGTGTGTGTGTGTGTGTGTGTGTGTGTGTGTGTGTGTATGTGTGTGTGTGTGTGTGTATCAGAGGACAATTTTGTGCAGTCAGTTCTCTCCCTCTACCTTTACCTAGAATCCAGAGACAGGACCAAGCTCTGGTCATCTAGAAAGAGGAACCTCAGTTGAGAAAATGTTTCCATTAGACTGGCCTGCAGGCAAGTCTTTGGAGCATTTTCTTGAATAAGGATGGAAGTTGGGGGATCCAGCCCACTGTGGGAGATGCCACCTCTGGGCAGATGGTCCTGCATGGTATAAGAAAAGAAACTGAGCAAGCCATGAGGCAAACAAATAATCAGAATCCCTCTAAAGTCTCTGCTTCAGTTTCTGCTCCCGAATTCTGCCTTGATTTCCTGCCGTGGATTTTGTTAATGATGGACTATGATCAGGACACGTAAGCCAAATGAACAATTTCCTTTCAAGCTGCTCTTTGCTATCATGTTTATCACAATAAAGAAAGCACATTAGGATAATAATCATGTGTGTTCGCACATACCTTGGCTCCTCATGCTTTGCCATGTATGTGTTTTGAATATCTCCCAGGTTAGACAGCTTTTTTTCCTTAGGTAAGTTACAGAAAAACTGCTTTCAAAACCTGACTTTGTTCACTCTTGCAAGATTTGTTAGTGTGCAACTCCAATAACAACAAACAGTAAAAGTGTCTGAAAAAATCTGTCATACCTAGCACCTCAAAGTACAACAGAGGGAGGGTCATTTTTACAGCTTTAACAAAAACATATGCTGATTAATTATCCCCTTCATAATCGCTGAAGAACTCTTTGATGATATTTACCTTAATGAACAGTCAGGGTACTGGGAAGTGAGAAAGAAGCGTTCTACCATGTGACAGATCACAGAGATAGAAAAGCAATAAAGAAATTTTGGGAACATGTCCATCTTGAGAGCTGTTCAAATGTTTGGTTTCTTAGCAAATGTCAGGGTTCACTGCAGTCATACCCACTGTGCATCGTAGGGAAGGTCATCCAAAAACACATTCATACAGATATTTTTATAGAGAGGAGAGGACAAGGAGAATTAAAACTTCAATTACACTCCAGAAAGCCTAGAGACTTTACATTGGTGACAGTGATAATGAAGTGTGGCATTTCAAACTTTTTAAAATTTCAGTTCGTAATTAACATATTCATAAGTGAAGTTCATTCTATTTTAGGTACAGCACAATTTCCATTGAAATTTATCACCATGATTTATTGTACAGAAAATTATTTTACTAGAGTGTATCTTTCTTCCTTTCTCCATTGTGCTTTGATATTAATCATTTATGTAGAAATAAAACACTAGAACAGAACACAGAGCAGGGTCTACTGTGACTGGTCTTTGTATCAATGAGAGAGTTAATAATTTGTGTTGAAAATATTTCATTACCAGTAATTGTACTTTTTTAAAGGTATGTCTACAAAAAGTTCTGAAAGTATTTAGTGGAATATCGCTTGTGTTAATATTTATCAAAAAAAAAAAAAAGGTCCAGATTGGCAGTCTGAGCCACAAACTTTAGTTCCATGTGACAATTCATCCCAGTTTGCTCTCTCAAACCCTATGTCATAGTCTTTCTTCCACTCTTCTTAGCTTTATTCTGTTGTGGTCAAGTTGTAAACGGTTTTGGGTTAATTTATCCAACAGCTTTATTAAAGAAGCCAAATAATGATCTTGATTAAGCTAAAACAAGTTTCAAACACCTTTCTATAACATTTTGCAGAAAGTGAGATACAATTAATTAAGTTGCATGAAAAGTTAAGGGACAGAAAGGTGGTTTTCTGGACAGTTTGGGCAATGACTTCAAATATCATTTAAGTGTCCTTTGATAAGTATAGAGGGATTTCTGAGTCTTATAAGATGATATGACCAACTTTCAAGTACGGAAGGTGACAGATGGACATAATGTACATCCAATAACCTGAGTTTACTTGGGAACACGTAGTGTATCAAGCTAATAACTATTTCCCTGCAGGTTTAAATGTGGTGGCTACTGAAAACAATGTGCTTTGTTCATGTAATTAGAAACATATTTTGTTTGTTGAAACCCAAACTGCAGAATCCTGAAGCCAATATGAATACTGTAAGTTATCCTCATTAATCAACACACTTTCAAAGACTCATCACTATTAATTTCACTCACCCTTTCCAAATTGTTGCATTTATGATAATCTGAAATTTCTCTTTACATAGAAATTGTTACTATATTCTACACAGAAAATTTACTGAAAATTCATCAAAGTGTCCAGATGACAAAACTAATGAAAGTCAATGTGTTGTCTCTTCCATATTTAGAGTGAGATTATTTCCCACTGGGGCTATAAAAGTGAAGTATATGAGGTTGTGACTGATGATGGTTATATTCTTCTACTTTACTAGATTCCATGCGGGAGAATGAACCCAGGAATTCCAAGAATTCATGTAACAGCGAGTGACCAAAAGTACTGAGATTTAAATGCATTCTGTGAAAACCCCTCCATCAGTTACCTCTAATAAGAAATCCCAAACCTCCCTGGATTCCACATGCAAAACCAGGAGTGTGTGTGTGTGTGTGTGTGTGTGTGTGTGTGTGTGTGTGTGTGTGTGTGATACCCGCTGTGTTAGTTGATACTATTAGACAAACCAGGACCATCTGTCTCATGAATTTAGATTTTCAACAAGATAAAAGCTCAGAATCCCTGCCTTAAAGGCCAAGAACCTCCAAGCACACAGACTCTGTAATGCTTGAGTTACTGCTGTGAGAATTCACAGTTCTTGATCATGATAGCTGCACCTGGTTCATTCTGACTGTATGTTTAGATGTTCCACAAATGATACTCATGTTCAAGTACTTATTGTTGTTGGAGTTATTTATTAAATATTCTTCATATTATCTTTTGCTCTACATGAGTTTGAACTCTTTACTAGAAAACAATATAGCTCAGAATTTTTATGAATTAAAAATACTTAGTAAGGAAATTCATATTTATTCAATAACGAGCAGGAAGAAGAATGGGATCCAATCCAATGAGCACAGTGATTATTTTACTCTGAAGGAAATGCATGATATTTATGGCTATAACAAGAGGATAACCAGCTGTTAACACTTCTACTTGGATTATATCTGCACTATGGCAAACAAACAAACCAACAAACAAAAAGACAAGCCTTGTTGCCTTTAATCCCAGCACTGGGGAGGCAGAAGCAGGTGGATCTGTGTGAGTTCAAGGCCACCCTGATCTACATAACAAGTTCCACTGAGACAATGTCACAAGACAAAAACAAACAAAAACACTAGCAGAAACAATAACAACAACAACAAATCCAACAGTACTATGATGACTGAGAATATTATCAAATATCTCCCAGGAGAGAAATAGACGACAAAGAGAATAAGGGAGGATGCAAATAAGAGAAAACTGCAATATACATGTATAGAATATAATGAGCTCCATTATTTTGCATTCTTAAAAATCAATAATAAATAGCAAATATGTTTTCTTTTCAGCCACAAAGCCAGTCGTGTATTTGCAGCATGGGTTGACTCTATCTGCTTCTTCTTGGCTTGTCAACCCTCCCAGCAGCAGCCTGGGCTTCCTTCTGGCAGATGTGCACTTTGATGTGTGGCTAGGGAACATCAGAGGCAATAACTATGCCAGGAAACATGTGTACCTAGACCCAAATTCTATAGCATTCTGGAATTATAGGTAAGAGGAAAGATATTCCTGTTTTCATTTTTGATAATCTACCAACTTTATTGATCATTTTAACATGTCTTACCCAGACATGAATAAAAACTGGTCAGACATAAGTCATAGGAATACTATATGGTATGTCATCTTGTAAATTCAGATCTAGAACAAAAGCATTTAGAGATATAGTCAGTCACTTAATTGTCTCTCATCCTTGGCTCTGTTCAAAGTGCACAAACAAAAGATCATGTCAAGGCATTCTGAGCATTGTAGGAAATAGGGGATTTGAGGAGTAACATGATGGAAACTATGCAGGACATATTGATCAGTTTTCTCAGTACCCATGCATCCCCTTAGAATTTTTTTCAAGTCAGGATAATGTTCAATTATTATAACTATCTAAACTCCTTCATTTCTGTTTTATACAGTTTTGATGAACAAATAAAATTCGACATTCCAGCCACCATTGATTTCATTGTGAAAAAGACGGGACAGACATAAATTTACTATGTTGGCCATTCCCAAGGCACCTTCTTGGTATGTTGAGAGAGACCAAAATCTGCCTATACTGTAATTTTAATTGCAAACCACATAAGCATTCTCTAGAAATAATTTCATTTTTAGAAAGCATATTTTTGTCAGTATTTAGAAATATTTAGGCTACCCCCAAAAATTAAAATCCAGTTATTATAATGGTTTAATTTGGTAACAGACAGCCACGTTTGTTGTTGTTTGACACAGGATATTGCTGTGTATCCCTGGCTAGGTTCCACCATGCACACCTCTGATTCCACTTCTCAGATGGTGTGATTATAGGCATGAGCAACTGTCCCTGGCTAATCTTCAAAATAACAGAAAGAATAATACATGCCTTTGTTACCTGCTTTTTAATCATCATCATTTCAAAGATACGAGACATGTGAACAATGTAAATGTATTAGAGTTGCTTGGGATTATCCACACTTTCCAAAACTAAGCCTAATACATTTTCTTGATGTCCTTAACTGATTTCTTAAAGTAAAATTGATTTAGATGTACTGTTTAGGAAAAGTCTTACTCATTTGGGTACTCTGAGCAGTTAAATTCTGAGGACCCAGTGAGCATCCACAGAGCCTCAAGTAGTATTTTACTGAGCTGATCTGAGGCATGCTAATTTACACAGTGTGAATACAAGAAAAAATGCATGCTTCCAAACCTCATAATCCCTGGGAAATCATTTCTACTTAATTTTCATGCCACCAGTTTAAAATAGTGTTCTAACTACTTGGGTACTTTGCTGGCTGGTAGCTACAATGCACATAGTACACCAAAGAAATGCATTTCCCTAAACTCACAGTCCATTGAGGAAAGGTGTGGGTTGAATAGCACAGACCCTCATATTTCTTGGGCCACGTGTTTTCTCTTGAAGATGTCTTTTTAGGATATTCATTGTATGATGCTAAGTAGTATCTGGAGTTTCTAATAATTAGATGGGAGCAAATGGATCCACTCATTGCCCTTGACTTGTAACAAGCAAAATTGTCTTCTGCTGTTAGGAATACTCTCTGAGAGCAAAGAAATCCTTAATGAAGAACTACTACAAAAATGGAATGATATTTACTGAAAGTTTTCCAGGCAGTCTTAAACTATAATTTGGTTATTGTGTATGTACACACACACACACACACACACACACACACACACACACACACACACACAAGGGATTGGAGAACAGACAAGCAGGAATTCATAAATATCATTCTCCATCCATAGAAGGGGGCATACCCAACTACTAGAGAAAATTATTATGGTAAAATAAAAGGTTAAGTTGCAACCTACTCTTCATAATTAATAGCTTCCTGTTTTTTTATTTCATGCATTTACACATATACAATCGCCAAAAACAGATAAAATTGCCAGCTGTTCTTTTCTCATATATGACAAGGGTTAACAGCCTCAACTCAGGGATATTAAAAACAGGGAAAACCACTTTCTTAATCTTATTTGGAGCTCTCTTGTCCTATTTCAGTTTCAGAGCAGACTAGTGACCCATTTATCCCTGTGAAAACCTTCATGTCAACTCTAAAGGTCAAAAAGGTGACTCCTTTAGACTTCAAATCCTTTTTCTTTTTTTAATATTTGTTTTTGTTTATTTTATCTGAATGTTTCTGCATAAGCACATGCTGTATGTTTGTGTTTCTGTGTGTGTGTGTGTGTACATATGTGTGTGTATGTGTTTCTGTGTGTGTGTGTGTCCATGTGTGTGTTGTGTGTGCATGCGAGCACCTGTGGAAGTCATAGGACCATCAGATCCCCTGGACCTGGAGTTAAAAGCAGTTGAGAGATGCCTGATGTGGGTGCTGGGAATGAAACTCATGTCCTCTGGAACAGCAGAAAGCCCTCTTCAGGTATCTCTCCAGCACCCACCTTTTTTCCCAAAGTTGTTTTCTTGGTTTTGTTATTTATACCGTGTTAAAGTCAGCATTCTACTTTTTATTAACTGAACAAAGCACACATTTCAACAAAGTCAAGCAAAGAAATTATTGGTATTTTCATGTTTTATCGTTAAGCCCAGCCTATAGTGGCTGAACCATCTCTCTAGCCTGGTGTCTTGAGCCTTCAAACTTGCAAGAACAGAGTATCTTTTCTTTCAGTTAATACTTCATTAACTTCTCTGGGTTTGTTTACCTTGACACCTCGTTGTCTGTTGTTAGTCTATGACAAAACTTCATTTCATACATCGAGGCTGCATCTTACATTGTTGATAAATTCATAAGTTTTGCCCACTTTTTTTAAGATTTCATCTTTCATGTTTAGAATATCAGGCTTCCTTTAATACAGTTTTCTTCTATTTTTAGTTTTTAGGGTCTTAGTATCTACATTTGTTTTCAATGTGTGTATATTTGCATCTGTATTTGTGTTCCTGTGTATGTGTGTGTATTTCTTGTTACAAAGGCTGAAAAACGCAGCTCAATGATGCAGACACATGGCAAGTGCAAACACCCTCTTATGGATTCAGAGGGAAACTATTTTATCTTTTACTATGGTTATAGTATTAATTATAGTCCTATATATTTAAATATGTCACTTTCAGAAAGTGTTTGGAGAAAAGGATATAATGACCAGGCCAGATGATAATCATGTCCTTCAGTTCTTGTGCTATCAGGAAACAATGGGAAGTGTTTGTAATAATTTACTTGCAGTGCTATTTGGATATAACCTCCAGAATTTAAATGAGGTATGTGTGATTTTTGTCTTCAGGTCAATTTTTTTATAGTGATTGTTGATGCTATGATCTTCTTACTAGATAAACATTAAAAATGAGAACTACTTACTCGCATAGTATAGAATAACTTAACTCACATAATATGAATAGTTCATGTAACAAAATGTGGCATAGTTTTAGCCGGGCGGTGGTGGCGCACGCCTTTAATCCCAGCACTCGGGAGGCAGAGCCAGGCGGATCTCTGTGAGTTCGAGGCCAGCCTGGGCTACCAAGTGAGTTCCAGGAAAGGCGCAAAGCTACACAGAGAAACCCTGTCTCGAAAAACCAAAAAAAAAAAAAAAATGTGGCATAGTTTTAATATCTGGATATCACAAATTAAATAACTAATATTGTTTCTCTGATTTCTTTTCAATCATCATTTTAAGATTAAAACTTCTTTCCAGAAAAACAGTATCTCCACCACATACTTTCACAAAACAAACAAAAATACCTAGCTTACTTGCTGTGGTCAAAATCCAGTCTTTCCTTTTAATTGACTCAGGAAAGATTGGAATCATAAAAGTCACACCATTCTGCAATACTATTTTAAACGTTTATATTCTTAAAAAGATACTAATCATGTTTTGCTGCTTCCCAGAGTCATATTGATGTGTATGCCGGACAAATTCCGGCAGGAACTTCAGTTAGAAGTATACTTCATTTTTCTCAGGTTCTGTGCTTGAATTCCTTTTCTGTTTTGTTTGAAATCTTCCCTCCTTGGTGAGATATGTCAATTCTCTATGTTATAATAATAATGATGATGATGATGATGATGATGATGATGATGATGATGATAGAGTAAATAGTAACAACGATTGTTTCTGATGCCAAGAGGAGAAACTACTCTGTGGGGAAAAAATCATTGTGAAAAGTAATTTTTCCATCCCTATATCTTCTAAGCAGTAACTTTTATCTTACAACATGTGAATCTTCTTGGTGATCTGGGTCACCTGGCCTCTAGGTAAGCTGAGGCTATGAACCTATCCCAGTCCAGAAACCTTGATGACAGCGGGTAGAGATGATTGGTGCTAGAGCAGGATATCACAGACAGGATGGTTGAACGTTGTCTTTTCTAAAGAGGAAAATATATTTAAATTTAAAAGCACAGAAAACTAGTATAAACCTAGTTTATCTAAAATTAATACTAATTTACAAGTGTCAGGTATTAATGAAAGGTAGGAATTTTAGGTGCCTTTGAGGTATAGGCATAAATTGTTAAACATTTCCTTCATGCATGTAAAAAAGATTTCCAGGACAGCAAAGTGGGATAAAGATGAAAATGGCCTAATCTTACAAAGGTAATTGCCATGATGTAAGTTAGTACCTATGGTCAAGATGTATATCTCTTTATTTGGAATTTTTCTTTATTCATGGGTATTTATTTTTTAAGATTCATGTCTGAGCTGTGTTCCTGAGTTTGCTCTGGACTCACTGATATACGTGCACCACCACCGCCTGGCTCTCATTGGAAATATTTTATACAAAATAAATTCTAAGCAAGTGCAAACTAGCTCAATTATATTTTAGTTCTGATACTTTGTAACAGGTGTTGAAGTCAATTAAATTTTATTTTTAAAAAGTTTTTCTGTAGCCATCAAAATATTACCTTATTTTCTTGATGTATAATGCCACGGACTGGCCCACAGGGGGTATCATGACTGTAGGAGAACCAGGGCTTGGGTAGTCAGGAAGGCAAGGATTCGGCGAATGACAGACAGACAACACACTCAGAAGTGGTTTGAATCTGCTGCAATTTTACTTCTGCAAATCAGTAGTTTATATACAGAAAAGAAAACTATCAAGTCATACAAGGAGCAACAAGAGCTTGGCAATAATTCAATCACATCGTCTTTAAAAAAACAGCAAGCACACAATTATTAATTGGCGTCAGACATATCCCTCCACCCACAAGAACGTTATGACCCAAAAAGCAGTCTGTGTTTTTTAAACTTAGTACAGTCCCTGGACTTGTGAAGGCTTCTTTGCGGTTGCAGCTTTGTCCTTCATCTTTATCTCAGCCGCTCGCTAGTTTATTATGCACTTCTACTTTTCTGGTTCTCATAACCCACTTAGCCAATTTGGATGCTGCAGATCCTTCCTAAGTCTTTCTTTAGTTCTTTTATCACATATCTCTTTTAATATAAAACCTTTTTACCTGCTGGAATATGGACTCTTGTACTTTTACGCCTGTAAGGAGAAGGAGTTCTGTTGCAGTCCTTAAATTTCCCATGCTGAACTTCCTCAACAGAGGGGCCCACCATCTGCCTCCTATGAGATAATGTTTTCTACCATAAATCACTTTAGTTGGGATTCCTAAAGGATTCCTAGTGGGTGAGTGTTCATTCCCTAGAAGTGCCTGAACTACTATACTTTCTTTATCTAGCAGCTTGGGGTCTTAAAAAATAGCTCATTCTGCTATATTTAATTAAGATCCATGTTGTAGTTGGAGAATTTTTCTCCAGCTCCCACCACCAAGTCCCGCCAGTCCCAGAGCCCACTTATAAAACAAACACACAGACCCTTACATTATTTAAACTGCTTGGCCATTAGCTCAGGCCTATCATTGTCTAGCTCTCACTCTTATATTCAGCCCATTTCTATTAATCTTTACTTTGCCACGTGGCTCGTGGCTTACCGGTACTTTACATCTTCCTTGTCTTGGCGGTGGCTCCAGCCGGTCTCCCTTTCCTTCCTCCTTTCTCAATTCTCCTCTCTCCTTGTCCCGCCTATACTTCCTGCCTGGTCACTGGCCAATCAGTGCTTTATTTATATAGAGTGATATCCACAGCACATGTCCAGCTTCCCCTTTCCTCCATAGTTCACAACCCAAGCATTCATTAATTTTGGCTGTGCTTCATAGATTAATTAGAACATTATCAGAAAGGCAGTTATACAGAACCCATAGCCCAGGGAGCTCATCATCCATGAAGCACATCTTCTTCGAGATGGAGGCATAACACGGGCACTCTGCCAGGGACCTCCAGGGAGCTTAGTCCCCTGGGACACGTATCTCCTGTCCGCTATTATAGACATAATTGTTTATGTCACACAGACAATACTGGAGTTGGTATGGCAATATAACCTCATTGATGTGTATTTAGATAATTTAAAAGGTGTGTGTGTGTGTGAATGTTCTTTTGTGATGGTGGACATGTGTGTGCCAGTGCTGTGGGGTGGTCTGTATGTCAAATGTGTTGCTGATTGGTCAATAAATAAATCACTGATTGGTCAGTGGCCAGGCAGGAATTATAGGCGGGACAAGGAGGAGAAAAAACTGGGAAGTGGAAGGCTGAGAGGAGAGACACTGCCAGCCACCACGATGAGAAACAGCATGTGAAGATGCCGGTAAGCCACGAGCCACGTGGCAAGGTATAGATTAATGGAGATGGATTAATTTAAGCTGTAAGAACAGTTAGCAAGAAGCCTGCCATGGCCATACAGTTTGTAAGCAATATAAGTCTTTGTGTTTACTTGGTCGGGTCTGAGGGGCTGTGGGACTGGCAGGTAAGAGAGTTTGTCCTGACTGTGGGCCAGGCAGGAAAACTCTAGCTACATGCCAGTGTCTTGGAAAATGAATGTGCTTGAATGTGGATAACAGAGAACATCCCTGGGTGTTGTTTAAAGACACTATCCATCTGTCATCTGAGATATCTCTCACTGTTCTAAAACTGGCCAGGCAGGTTAGGCTTTCCATTAAAAAGCCCCAGGAAATTGTGTGTCTGTGTCTTCTGAGCTTTAGGATTTCAAATATACACACCACCACACTCTTCCTTTTAATAGTGGATTGTGGGAACTAAATTTAGGTCCTGATGCCTTCAAAGCAAACATCCTACTGACTAAGATTATTCTCCACTTCCAAAATATTTCCTTATTAACAATTATTTACAATTTGAATTTCACTTACAGTACTAAATTTAAATATAGTGAAATTTAGTGTTATAACAAATTTATACTATAAAATAACTTTTTTTTTTTTTTTTTTTTTTTTTTTTGGTTTTTCGAGACAGGGTTTCTCTGTGTAGCTTTGCGCCTTTCCTGGAACTCACTTGGTAGTCCAGGCTGGCCTCGAACTCACAGAGATCCGCCTGGCTCTGCCTCCCGAGTGCTGGGATTAAAGGCGTGCGCCACCACCGCCCGGCTAAAATAACTTTTTATTTCCATTCATCCAGGATCACATGATGTGATCATAGAACTATAGTGCACATGTATGTGGTTATATCATATCTGATCCAGTGGGTCACATGAAAAAGGAGTCAATACAGATCCTTAATTCCTAATAATTTTGCTTTTGGAATGTTTAGTAAGTAACAGCCTATTTTATCTTTAAGGGAATCAGAACAGGCTTATTCCAAGCTTATAACTGGGACAGCGAGTCTCTAAATATGCATCACTACAATCAGGTGAGTCTTCTTTTACAAATTATAATGATTCCCCCACTTTGGAAAGTGTATGAAAGATCTAAAGAAATTATTATTTTAAAAATACTGTTGAATATTTTTATACTTCCCAGGATATTAGTAGACAGAGGTCATAGAACAGTGTCAAAAGAATGAAAATACTTCTTTATAATACTTTACATAGAAATATGTATTTCTATAGCTTATCTATAGTAATAGAAGTGGTTTATCTATAGAAATAGAAGATAGCTTATCTTTAACTATAGAAAAATGTATTTCTATAGCTTATCATCAGAACTTCACAACAACCTTATGATCTATCAAATGGTTATTGACATCATCATCTCTACCATAAAGAATGTAAAGTTTACAGGATTTCTAGTTTCATAAAATTGTGTATGATATATGATAATGCTTTACCAGTAGTCCATTCCTGCCTTGACACATGTTGAGAGTTCATAAATGCTTTCTGTGGTCTGATGTATATAATCACTGAATCAATTTAGAAGCTGGAATGTAAAATTTACATTCCTACTTTGGTATGTTATTAATATAAATAAGCTATTCTTTGTTTTCTTTTAGTCTACTCCTCCAATATACAACGTGGAGAACATGAAGGTTCAAACTGTCATATGGAATGGTGGACAAGATATTCTGGCAAATCCAATAGATGTTAAAAACTTGGTAGCCAAAACCTACAATCTAGTTTATCACAAGAAGATTGGTGACTATAATCATTTGGATTTTATAATTGGTAAAGATGTTGCTGAAAAAGTTTACAATGATTTGTTTGCATTCATCAAAAAAGATCAATCAGGGTGAAGTTTCTTTAGTTTTCTGCATGTTTTTTTCTGCTTGTTTTGGAGGGTGCTATGCTTTTTCTTAATGAAAAGCATTTCTTGATTTCCTCTTTCTTTTTAATAATCTTTGCTGTAGCCCTGGCTGTCCTGGAACGCGCTCTGTAGACCAAGCTGGCCTCAAACTCAGAGAGCCTCCTGCCTCTACCTCCCAAGTTCTAGGACTAAAGGCATGTGCCACCACAGACAGGTATAATGTTGAATTTTTAATCCTTGTATAATTTATGTAAATTGTTTACATATGTCCAGAAAATATAAAGTCTAATAAAATATTTAATTCATCTTGCAGACATTTTCTAATTTATGCATACTTATTTATACATCACTGAGAGAAGAACTTTTGAGCACAGGGCTAAATATTATCTTAAATAAGAAAATTTCACAATAGTGATGCAGGAAGAAGATCCATGATATGTCTATGGTGGACACTGACTGGAGAAGTCATATTTATAGTTATTTCTTTTACCATTTATTCTAAATAAAACCTGAGATAATTACAAGCAACCATGACACACACCGTCAATGTCCACTTCCTGGCTCAAAAAGGCCACACAATCTCTTGTCCCCACCTCATCCTCATCCGAGGCCTTTCTTTCTCTTGTCCTGAGTCCACCAGGGAAATTCATGATCCAGTCCAGCTAGCTGTATGTGAACACTACCTCTCAAACCAAATGCTCTATTCCATTGGATATTAGATGACAACATAGACAAAATCCCCGTAACATTTCCCCCTTGTAGCTGGAGTTTTCCTGCCTGGCCCACAGTCAGGGCAAATCTCTCTCACCTGTCAGTCCCACAGCCACTCAGACCCGACCAAGTAAACACAGAGACTTATATTGGATACAAACTGTATGGCCATGGCAGGCTTCTTGCTAACTGTTCTTACATCTTAAATTAATCCATTTCTATAAATTTATACCTTGCCACATGGCTCGTGGCTTACCGGCATCTTCACATGCTGTTTCTCATCATGGCGGCTGGCAGTGTCTCTCTGACTCAGCCTTCCACTTCCCAGCTTTATTCTCCTCCTTGTCCCGCCTACACTTCCTGCCTAGCCAATGGCCAATCAGTGTTTTATTTATTGTCTAATCAGCAACACATTTGCCATACAGAACATCCCACAGCACCCCCTTTTTGTCTAATTAAAAAGAAAAGGTTCTAACTCTAACATAGTAAAATTATATACAATAAAAATAATTATCAGGTATTGTCCAAACAGAAAGAAAAAGTATTAACCTTAAAAAAATGAAACTGTATACAATAAGAACAATTATGAAGTAACAAATACATTCACAATGTCCAGTCAATTTGTATTTGGCAAATTAGAGAAAATACTCTCTCTGCTGTCCTCTCCTGAAGAGTCCAAAATTTTGTGCCTAATTTACATTCTACCATGAATAAGGACAATTGTAACTGTAACTATCTAGTCTTCAACCCCATCAGAGACCTGAGAAAGATATAATTTTATATGAGTAAACAGGAAGTACAGAGCAAGCAACTTTCCAAATTATAAGAAATGACAGAAAATAGCTGGCTGCCTGCAAAGTCACCCAAGGTTCCTTTGTGACAGAACCCAACTTCAGCCTAATGGCCTTGAATACCTTTGAAGTCTTTGAAGATCACCTATCATATCTCTGTATGACCTTGAAAACATACCTAACATGACTGTAAGTTTGATAGTTATGGGTGACTAACCAGTAACCTGTATTTCTTTATTATCCTACATAGCTTTTAAGGACTAAAACTTTATATTACATAATTAAATGAGCTGCATAGGTACAATACATTAAACAGAAATAGAAACATATGTACAGGATAACAAAAATAACCTTAAAGTTGTATCAATATGCAAAAATATCTTAAACAAGAGTCAAAACATTTATACAGTATAACAAAAATAACTTTAAATTTGTATCAATATACAAAAATCCATACCTATGTAAAATTTTTTAAGATTAATAGTTGCCTTTGGGATTAAAGTAGATTCTATAATCTACCCTTTTTCCTATCATTCTTATATCCCTCCTTTTTTCTTTTCAGAGAAGGGATCCCTGAATCTTACCTCCTATGAATAGTATTTTCTTGTCCATGACCAGTAACAACTTACAACCAACCCCACTAAACAATGACAAACATGCATAATCCATGGAACAACCAAAAATCATCCACCCTACCTCTTGGGAATGTGGGCATTGTGTTTTCTAGACTGTTTCCTGTTGACATGGGGTGCTGGCATCTCTAGGGGACCCTGAGAAAATAGAGATAAAAGTCAAGTCTGGGTAATCCAGCTGTTGTCCAGTCTGGTGTGACAGGATAATGAAAATTTATCTGAAATCCTGGCTGGAGTAGTCTAAGAGGCTGGACCATATTAACTAACTGTCTCGAAATTGTCCTGAGCAGTTTACAGTCCAAAACTGGTCTTTGGATGGTGTTTGTCAGCCTAGTGGTGTTACCACAGTCCAGGTGGAATCATCATTGTGGGGCCCCATCATCTTTTGGAGACTTCAAAGGTCACTGTTAGGAATGTTCATTGCAAGCTGTGGAAAACTTAAACATCTTAAATGTCATATGCAGCAGATTGGAGAGGGTAAAGGATCATAATTTATTAAATACACCTGGGACACATGTGCTTAATTCCTAAATACCTGCTTTATACTCAAGCCTGAAATCATGTACAGGAAGCTACATGAAGCCTAAGGTTATAATTACTTAGTACTCTATATGACCATTAATATCAAAACAGAAAGTTTAAATTTTGAGATAATATTTATACCTTAACAAAAGTTTTAAAGAGTCAAAATAAATCCCAGGGATATGAGATTAGTGACAATATAATAGTCCCTAGATTTTGGTTTTCTTCTGCCCCATATCACATGGCTGCTGTGGGATGGTCTCTATGTCAAATGTGTTGCTCTGATTGGTCAATAAATAAAACACTGATTGGCCAGTAGCCAGGCAGGAAGTATAGGCAGGACTAACAGAGAGGAGAACTGAGAGAACAGGAAGGCAGAGAGAGACACTGCCAGCCGCCGCCATGACAAGAAGCATGTGAAGATGCCGGTAAGCTACGAGCCACATGGCAAGGTATAGATTTATAGAAATGGATTAATTTAAGATTAAGAACAGTTAGCAAGAAGCCTGCCATGGCCATACAGTTTGTAAGCAATATAAGTCTCTGTGTTTTGCTGTGGGATGGTCTGTATGTCAAATGTGTTGCTGATTGGTCAATAAATAAATCACTGATTGGCCAGTGGCCAGGCAGGAAGTATAGGCGGAACTAACAGAGAGGAGAATTGAGAGAACAGGAAGCTGGGTGAGGGAGACACTGCCAGCCGCCACCATGACAAGCCGCATGTGAAGATGCCGGTAAGCCATGAGCCATGTGGCAAGGTATAGATTAATAGAAATGGATTAATTTAAGATATAAGAACAGTTAGCAAGAAGCCTGCCACGGCCATACAGTTTGTAACCAATATAAGTCTCTGTGTTTACTTGGTTGGGTCTGAGTGGCTGTGGGACTGGCGGGTGTTAGAGATTTGTCCTGACTGTGGGCCAGTCAGGAAAACTCTAGCTACAAATGGCATCCAACGTGGTGGCAAGAGTTTCCACCTAAAAACTGAAAAAAAAGATTCTAAAACGGAGCTAAAAACAGCTTCCTAATTGTCTCTCAAATGAGCGGCAGCTGCCAGTTTGAGCTACTGGTGGTTTCCTAGCATGCACGCTCAACCTGCAGTTTGGCGGGAATGAGGCCTCTGCATGTGGCACATTAAGCTGCGTGGTGGATTTAGCCTTTGTAGGTACGAAACAAAAAAGGAGGTTTCTGGGCTACACGCTGCTTGGATAAAAGCATAGACCCACGATGGCTTCCAGAGCTGGCGGTAAACCACCGCCATGTTGGGAAGCTGAGGTGGGCGGAGCCAGCAGCCACAGCTGCTGCAGTTTGAAGCAATAGATTCACAATAAGACAGATTCAGATGTAATAGTTTACAAAGTGTGTAAAATATATGTAGGCTTGAAAGAGACAAAAAGGTGATATATAGAGTTATAGAAACAAATACATAGTTTTAAAAAATAAAGTCTTTGAAGAGACAGTAAAGGTAATATAAAAAATAAGCCATGTAAAAATGGATATTACACAGAGAATCTGGATTGTGTTGTCTTTGGGACTTTTAACTGCAGAAAAACATTTGATTGTAAAATCTGTTGAGTTATGTCAAAATGTATACTTTAAAGGTACCTTGACTTCAAAATTTGGATATAAGGATATGTTGCTTTGGAAAAGAGTCTCTTTTGTTTCCACAGAAAGCCAGAGGCTATGGATTTGTTCAAGATTAAGATACATCAGGTTTGACCAGCCAAGACCCCCTGAAAGTCTCCGATGATACCATGGCCCAGATGATCCAACATCCAGAATGGTTTGAAGGCAACTGGCTCAGATGATACAGCCTCACGGACTATTCCATAATCCTAAAATTTTCTTTGTGTCCCCATAAGATACAGCGCCCCCCTCCAGCAGGAAGTAGTAAGAGAAGCTATGCCCAAATTCCCAAATATACCAAGCTGACTTTGGAGATGTGTAAAGGTTAAAACCTTCCTTTTTAAGAAAAGAAAAGGGGAAGTGCTGTGGGATGTTCTGTATGGCAAATGTGTTGCTGATTGGTCAATAAATAAATCACTGATTGGCCAGTGGCCAGGCAGGAAGTATAGGCGGAACTAACAGAGAGGAGAATTGAGAGAACAGGAAGCTGGGTGAGGGAGACACTGCCAGCCGCCACCATGACAAGCCGCATGTGAAGATGCCGGTAAGCCATGAGCCATGTGGCAAGGTATAGATTAATAGAAATGGATTAATTTAAGATATAAGAACAGTTAGCAAGAAGCCTGCCACGGCCATACAGTTTGTAACCAATATAAGTCTCTGTGTTTACTTGGTTGGGTCTGAGTGTCTGTAGGACTGGCGGGTGT